CTGCCACCGCTTGCTTCAAGTGCCGCGGCAGGGGATCGAACCGGTTAACCTCTGCGTTGCAAGTCGCGTGCGCTAAGCATCACAGCACGACAGCATTCCGGTGGGCATGTTCAAGAACCTGAATCCCACTGTGCAGGTTGGGATTGGCGAGGGGCCACTTTGAATCCATTCTCCCACGGCGAAGGCATTTTGAACCGGACGCCACTGTTTAGGTTTATCGTTGACTTGTGCGTGTGTACACGTAAAACCCTTTTTTGTCAATCCACTGCTGGATTAGAGCCTCGCCATGGCGTGCGGGTCATGAGGTTATTTCACCATACCTCACCCTGCTGAGAACGGCAGAACTGGCTGGGCCATTGTTTAATAATTTTTTTAGGGGTAGATTTACAAACTGTAGCTATATTCTTGGTTCTTTCGGTAAAGTCACGTATTTCGATAAAGTCACATTTTTTAAAATTATTATTTTATTGTTTCCCTTCTACGTGACTTTACCGAAAGAACCAATAATATGAATCCCTGCAGTCACGAAAGCTTTAAATCAAAATTTTAACTGTAGCTAATTAATTCATTGACTCTGCCGATGAGACCACGAAGGTTAAAATTGGTTGACTCGATTAAATGAATGCCACAGGGTAATATGGTTCTCAACATGCAACACATTCATGGATTTTCTTTTTTTGTGGATATAAAAAAACAGACGTCTCATTATTCATGGATAATTAGGTTTATTGTCTCAATAATTAATTGCTGTTATCTACTCAACATAAGTATCGATGATTAATGCAGTCATAGTCGTCCAAGAGATGCTGCTATTATTGTAATGGGTAAAGTGTCGCGGAAGAGTAGGCCAAATGAACCTTATTGTGGTTCCCCGGGGTACCATAGTTCCCCGGCTCTTGCATAATGTTCGTGATGCAGTCATTTTTAGTCTATTGATGGTCGGCGATACGGCAAATCGACTCATCTCGACGAGCTGTATACAAAATGCACTATTCAAAGTTGATAACGGATTTTTTAATGCTGTTTGGCGTTTCGACATCGCGGAGTGTGGCACTGATTTCGGATTGATTGGGACCCCAGTCGCGGAGTTAAGTAACACCCCTGGAAAAAAATTGTGTCCCACAAATAAAATATTTAATTGCCTCGGCCCATTTTGTATTATTTGGTACCCCGGGGTACCGTCATAATGACCAAATGCCCTCCGGAGTGGAGGCCCTTCTGACAGCAGTGACATGAGCAATAAATATCAGGGCTGCCCCTTTACCTTTTTTCCATGTCAAGATTTCCGTATTCAATCATCATTTGGCTGTTTCAGTAAAAAAAAAGCTATGCTTCAAAGCAGCTCTCAAGCCTGGGGTTGGAAGTAGTCTGGTAACATCATTTGCCTAAACGCAAGTTTTTCCCTGATCCAGCGTGACTCTGCTGCCTCCTAGTGTTTCAGAGAAGTATTTCTGTCTCTGCATTGAACAAAAGTGATTGAAATTCCCTGTGAAATCCATTACGATCAGTAATCCGTGGCTATGCACTTCCATTCTCGCCACTCACAGCCCGATTGTCACAGGTTATTAAGACGCAGTGTGTCGTTGGAAATCGCGCACACACACACACACGTGCTGTTCTGAGCACCCAGACTAAGGAATGAAAGCGTTGTTATGTTTCATCAGGCAATGTAGAGCAATGGGGTCGTCCATAAATGACGTCACGCGCTTTTGGACGATTCTTGACCCCCACCCCCCTCGTCACACGGCGTCACAAAAAGTCAGACTTCCTCCTCAAATATGACGTCACAAAGCTCTGCCCCCCCCCAAAACCATATTTCCATTTTGAAAATAAAACATGCTTCAAATCGCTTTAAACTATTGTCATTGTAGTGCATATTTAATGTGGCGCTGCACTCTGATGTTGTAGGAGAAAACATTTATTTAAAATATATATATTTAATTAAGTAGAACGTGTTGTTTATATTTATTTAAAGTTGCGCATTTTGATGTGACGTCACATTTCTCAAACACACCCCCTCCCTCGTCACACATCGTCACAAATGTCTGACCCCCCCCCCCCAGGTGCGTGACGTCATTTATGGACGGCCCCAATGGGTAAATGTGCAGCCCAACAATCGCTTTCTCGCGCAAGTGCTGGCAGGAGAGACTTATTAAGTCGGTAAGCTATTTCTTGTGCTATTAATCAAATAACATTCGCACCCCGCTGGATAATAAGGCACGCGTTATGAATTCAGCGTTTTATTTCTACACACATTCACACCGTTTAATGTTTTGGCCAAATGAACCTTATGGCGGTGACCCCGGGGTACCATAGCACCCCGACTCTCGCATAATGTCCGTGATGCAGTCATTTTGAGTCTCTGTTGATGGTGGGCGATGCGGCAATCGACTCATCTCGACGAGCTGCACTCACGATGCACCGCTACGGTGCGTACCGCGAGCGTTCAGGGATTCAGCGCTAAACGTCCTCGCTGCGTTTCGACATCGCGGAGTGTGGCACTGATTTCGGATTGATTGGTGCCCTAGTCGCCGAGTTAAGTAACACCCCTCGAAAAAATAGTGTCCCAGAAATAAAATGTTTAATTGCCTCGGCCCACTTTGTATTATTCGGTACCCCGGGGTGCCGCCATGAAGATCAAAAATGTACAACACAGCTGTCGTAGCAAATAAATAAATAAACACAATTTTCGTTTCCGTCTACGAACAGCATTTATATGGTGATATGCAAATATGAAAGGGGCAGATTACACCCAACTCTGCAAATGCTGATACAACACCATTGCCATTCCCATCAGATGCTTTGTCTCATAATCGCACCATTACAATATATACCAAACGTCACATATCCGCCCTACCTAATTAATGATAATTAAACCACTTATAACCTGCACGAAGTTCGCGAAACTCGGAGGCGCAGAATTAACCAGCCCTGTGCAGTTTTTGAACACACAGTGTGACCAGTGCCGGATTATCCAAGTAGCAAAAGTAACTACATATGGTACGGGCCCCGAACGTTCAAGGGCCCCGTGCTAAATGCTTTCAGGCTATCAATTCCGGTTCAGTGATTCTGCACTTGCTCTATTACTATAGTACTGTACCGCCTTTAACTTTTATGAACGACTGGGTGTTTAAGGGTAGCGATTTGTCGTATTATCTGGATGTGTAGCAAATGAAAAAATACAATTAAGAATACTGGTCTATACCATCAGCCCCCAGCGAGTTGGATATGTGACATTGGACTGTACAGATAAATGTATAATTCATATTAGTGACCATCTGGCAAATGCAACATTAATGATCTTATTCACGGTGAGAGAAGTTAATAACTTTGGCCAATTGGCCCAATACTTTGTACATTATGAATGTAACATTTCAGCCCTATCAGGTTTGATGAATTATCATGATTCGTGGTCACAATTGAATTAGGAATCTATCGTGATACAATTTTTACTGACTTACTATAAATTATAAATACTGGAACACGTTTTGTTACGTGTGTGCATATACGATGCGCTTTAGAATATATTTTAATCGACAGATCGTTCCATTCCAAAAGAACATACCAGGTTGTAAACGGTTTTTATTGCTTATCATTAGAACAAAAGATGGTCTGGAGGTGGCTTAGAGGTCATAGCCACGAACTGGCACCACTGAAATATTTTGGGTTCGAATCTAGGCAGCCACCTATGGCTAAACTAGGCTGTCTCAGCCCAGTCATTGATTGTACAAAAAACCACAACGTATAATATTCGATTTCGGCACTTAGTTTGGCTAAATTACAGTTCTGAGGATATAAATTACTGGTTTTACCGTAATGTCACGAACAAATTATCTCTGTAGCAAGGTGAGTGGAAAATCACTGCGCCCCCCCCGCCCCCCACCATTTGTAATTTCGGTAACTTGAAGTAATTCTGTGATGTCACCTTAGCAGACCATTCTCAACAACAGCGGTACATCGCTCTGCGAGACTTCCGATTGGATTATTTGTTTCGTATCCAGGGAAAAAGACAAAATATATGTAATATATGAAATACTGAATTCTGTATATAATGACAATATGTTACATCCCTCTGTCAATCCACTGCTGGACGAAGGCCTTCCCATGCCATGTCGGTTATGGAGGTTGATTAACCATACTTCACCACGCCGGTCAGTGCGGGTTGGTGTCGGGATGGGGGCGGGGCAGAACTGGTTCAGTTATCACTCGCCACTGACGTTGACCATGGCTGGGAATCGAACTCAGGTTGCTAGATTTATATCACCGTGCACTAACGACTGTGGCACCGTGTGGTGAACAATTACTATTGAATTATTTTTCATTTTAACAAGCAAGGCCCACTGAACTGTATGGCTCTTTTTTCAAAAGCGACCTGGCCACGAAGTGGCTTATTATGTGTAAACTTATAGCAGCCAAATACTCCAAAAGGCACATTTAAAAATGTGCAGGGAAAAACCAGGGGACCCGGAGAAAAACCCACACACGACGGGGAGAGAGACATGCAAACTCCGAATATACAGCAGGCGTCAGGGTCAGGATCGAATCGACGTCCCCCCTGCATACCCGGCGAGGAAGTTCACATCTCGCGACGCCCAAGTAAGATCAAACAACCCCTGTGACAAGCACGGTGTGGGGAGGTCTTCATCCAGCAGTGGCCGGGCAAGGGGGCTGTAAGAAAGTATTATGTTAGACTAACCCTACGCTGTAAATTAATCTTATCATTCCAAACAGACGTCTATAACTGCGGGGCTTTAAATAAAAAAAAAAACACGCTGAGCGCTGTTGGAGCAGGCACAGTGGATGACCACGCCAATCCTCGCCCCTTTCTCCCAAGATATTAATCGGAGGACGTTTACTGACGCGAGGCAGCAGTTGCACATGGTCCAACTCCCAGCCCTGTGTGTGTTTTTTTATATTTTCCTCTTTCCCCATGGCAGTGTTTCTCAACTCCCGCCCTCGTGTCCGCAGTCGATTTAATGGATTTGAAAACACATCCTGTGCAAGGTTTTTAAGAGTTTTTTTTGCAAAATACATATACACATATACGTGTATTCTCCCATTAGGGAGCAGCATTCTCATGCAAACCGTATTGCTTTAATACAAAACATAAAAATTCATCACATTCGTTAGTAACACCACCTTAAAAATAAATATGATAGGCGACGTTTCAGGCAATGGCCCTTCTTCATGTGCTGTGAACGGCCATTTCTCTTAACGTCGCCAATGATTTGCATTCTTCTTGTAAGGCAGTGTTGTTGACGAATGTCTATTTCTTTAATAGACTTCCAGTTGACACATTTAAGGGGACTCAACCCTCTTCCCCATTCTACAGTAACTCTTTTATCCACGATATCACCTGTGCATGCCACAGCCGACCTTCATCGAGGCAGGCCGTGCAACTATTGACAATCCCTCTCTTAATGACGCCTGTAGATTAATGTAGGTCATGGCAGTTTCGCAAATGGTAATGCTACGATAATACGGCAATCTCTGATGTCGCTGTTCAGGAGAGTGAGCCGTAATTCGGACGTGTACAGACTCTCTTCGCAATAGTCGGATGGCTACAGTTAAATATCAAAGAGGGTGACAACAAGCCGTGTGAAAATGTGTAGGGCATGTTTCACAGGTAGGAAATCTGCATCGTGTGGGCAGTCAATAGGCTTCCGAATGACAGATTAGACTCCGAAACAATATTTTAAGAGATTACCTCATTTTGTAGACTTAGCGTTCGCACAACTCTTATCTGTACATTTTTGCATGTAAGTTTAGATTTTTTTCCAACAATATTCTTGTATTACATATTTCATTATTCTATTCCGTTATCATCTACATTAATCGACAGACGCATATGTGAAATGGATTGTAAATGTGTAAACATGTTTAAATTGCCAAATGTCATAATGAATTTACACATATTACGGCTGTAGCAATGCATCAATTCATCAGTAAATATTGATTCTTATAGCCACGATACACACATCAAATCACATGCGTGAGAACCAATGTTTATCAGTTCTTATAAGTGTAATGCCATAGGTTCGCGTGATATTTTCGGCCATGAGAGGCCGCTAGAGTAACCACAATCTAATTTATTTATATTTTATTGAATTGAATAGTTGCCCTGAATGAATAATGCCAGTTAAGTGAAACATGGGTATCATGCGGAATGAGGTTTTGGGAACAAATCATTATATCCAGAACAAATATCCATTCACAATTCACCAGCAGAAACCTGCACAAATACAGTATTGCAAAACTCTTTTGTCTGACTGCTATGAAGTTGGCTTACTTTAAAAAAATTATCCTCTTAAAGCAAATCCTTCTACAGCCTGACCACAGTGACCATGGATGTCAGAAAGTCCAACGCTCGTTTCGCACCATCGTCTGTTACGACAAAAGCAATCTCCGGACCAGGCAGTATTATTTACTGTTCAGTACCATTGCTTGCAATTCATGTCGGCTTTTTTGGGCCCAGAAGAACATTATTGGACCTCCCCTCAGAGGTGGTTTGTTGACTCAATAAAACTGAGGAAAATAATACTTTGTATATATACTGTATTCTCCGGGTTATAAGACGCTCCGGAAAGTAAGGCGGACGCTAATCTTGCGTCTACACCGCCGGTGGTGCTGAAGTCAGTCACTCATCGGCGCGTTTTGTGCGCGTGACAAGACTCGCTAAACTAAATTTTAAAAAAATCAACTTTTTTTGTTGTTTAAATACCAATGTAAGGCCCACTGAGCTATATAGCGCTTTTTTTTTCCAGAAGCGTCCTGGCCACAGATGATAAAAGCTGAAGTGGCTTATGTTGAAATGTAGAACAGCCAAATAAATCCTCGATACGCATGTTTATTAAACGAACCTCATGGCGGGTGCCCGGGGTCACCAATAACCGGAAGTCAAAATCGTAAATGATTAAAAACATTCGCCGACTCCGTCCCACCGCGCACATAAACGCCACGACCCGCCTGGCGCGGATCGCTCTGTCGTCGTGTCGTGTCCAAGCACAGCGATGACGAATGCGCAGAAGAAACAAAACTTTTAAACCTTGATTAGCGCATCGTGTAGAGCTCGTCGAGAGGAATAGATCGCCGTGTCGTTTGCCTTCAACAGACATACAACGGCGTCGCAACGCAGTTTATGCGAGAGCCGGGGGCTTATGGGACCCCAGGGTCCCGCCATAAGGTTCATTTGTAAACAGGCGTCACGCACAGTTCGTTGATCGGCAGGTCGCGTGCCCGTGGGGTAACAGCATGGGTGCTCCCACCTCCTGGCCAGCGTGGAAGATTAGGCCAATACACGTGGAAGATTAGGCCAATACACGTGGAAGATTAGGCCAATACACGTGGAAGATTAGGCCAATACACGTGGAAGATTAGGCCAATACACGTGGAAGATTAGGCCAATACACGCACCACTAGAGGGGCTCTCTTGAGCTCCTACTCGTGGAGACCCTTCCAGCAGCAGTGGCGTGAGCGAGTGACTGCTGCACCTCCATCGGACTCCTCTTGTTTTGGACCACACGCAACTTGCGTCCTTCTTAAACGTCTCTGTCGGTAGTTTTTGGAACGAAATATCCTGCATGGAGCCAGAGCGCCGCCTTTGCGTTGGGTTGGACTCCCCCTCTTCGAGCCCGCAAGCCTCTATCCTCCCAGCACCAGGCCTTCCGTCATCCATCAGCTTCTTGTGCTGCTGCTGCTGCTGCCATTCCTCCCCAGGCGACTCAGGTCATCATGATGTTGATCTTGCTCCACTCGTAGATGTCCTGCTCGCAGATGATGTCCGAGTTGACGAGGAGGTAGCGGTCGCCCACGCAGAAGTGCTTCTGGCAGGCGGCGCACTTGAAGCACTCGAGGTGGTACACCTTGTCCCGCACGCGCATCGTCATCTCGAAGGCTCGGATGCGCTTCCCGCACGACGCGCAGTGACCGTCCTGCCCAAAGAGCCTGGGCGACGCGGCGGGCACAGGCACAGACACAGGCGGATCTCGTAAATTCTCAATGCAGGTGGAAGGTGCGGGGTGGTTTTGGGTGGGTGGGGGGGGGGTCCCAACGTTTTCAAGCCCAGTAGGCAGTGGGCCGGCACTTGAACAAGAGCAGACTGGAGCCCTAACGGTCGAGATATGTTTGGCTGCAGAGGTCCACACTGGGTCATCGGTGTGGACCTCGAGGTTGAAAACTCATTTCTTTAGCGCAGCTTTTTTGTGTTTCGTTTGTTGCCCCCCCCCCCCACCCCGCACGCTCCCGATTAGCACGGTTGGCTACGTACGGTGCGACATAAGTTCAACGTACACACACACCTATGTACAAATAGGGCCCTGCAGACATAAATAAACTCGTTCGACGCATTATTTCTGTTAAATGTCAATATAATGGCAATTGTCGTGAGTCTCAAGTGGGAGTTGGGGGGCAATCGTCCCTCCCCCCCCATCTCCCCACCACTTAGATCCGGCACTGGACAGAGACGTCAGCCACCGGTTTAACTGGCCGCGGGCGAAGGCTGTGCCAAGCCGCGTTGTATTGTTATCATTAAGCCATGCTTAATCCACTGCTGGATGAAGGCCTCCCCAAAGCCGCTGCCACCACCGACGATCCTGCGACGCCACGTCACCCTTGCAAATGAGCTTTTCCCCGGGTCTCTTTATTTCTCACCTGGTTAAACAAAAAAAAAGACTTGAAAACTTCACTGGACCAAGACTATGATGATATATTTGTAAAAATAAAATAAATGCTGACTCAATTACCACCGATGACGAGGCTGGCACACATCCGTTAGCCACTGGTTTGCCGGTCGCACGTGGGGCAGAAGTGCATTATGGCAAAAGTATAAGTCCGGTTTATTGTTTTCCCACGTAAGCATTTAGTGCTGTGTACTCTGTGAGTGGTTTGTTAGCCCATGTTTGGCGTGATGAGGTGTAATAACTAACGGTGCCAACGATGCACCGATCCATCGAATGACATCTATTCTTACGCTTGCGATCACGTGCACCCAACCGTGTCCTTGAGAATCGATAGTTTTCAATTCGTATACGCTGTATGTAATGGATACGTGTCAGCCTGGACACCCTTGCAAATGTCATGCTCCATCTCAAGGTATTTTTTTAAATGTAATATAAATAAATTACACGTGCAGCTACTAGAGGATCTACTATTCACCATAATGTACGTGCATAAAATTATCGAATCACGATCCTGAAACGCAATGATTCATCGAATCGCCCAGACGTGGGTGGATGGATGAATAATTTCCACTCCGATTGTAAATACACGCTTGAATATTTTTGTGTTGACTCTGCACGTGAGCGACAATAATTTCCATGAAGCGATGCCCTTTCGCGTGTTTTTTTTCCATCTTCTTCGAAGCCATATCTATTTAACGTTGCGCCTTCTCAAAACAAAATATCGCCAATGTGGGAAAGCGGAAGCCACTTATTTTATTTATTTTGTCCCACCATCCAGCGCGCCCTGGCACTAATTTTGAAAAACCGTTAAGCTGTACCTCTCACACTTTATAGCCACGATAACATTCCTACAAGTAAAACCTGCGCGTATAAACCCACTGCCGCAAACAGGAAAGCTAATTGTCTCCACGCAACTCTATTTACATTTCAATAAACCTCACAGTTTTTGCAGGAAATACCATTCTATATTAAGTTACATAATAGTAACAATTTATTATTTACAGCCCTTTGTCAATCGATTTCCGGATGAAGGCCTCAACTACACCGTGTCAGTCGTGGGGGTTGTTCTACTATACTTCACCGTGCTGGTCAATATGGCTTGGTAAATTTAAGGGAGGCCAAAACCGGTTCATATTTATCACCACATTCACAAATGATGTTGGTCATGGCTGGAAGTCAGACTCGGCTTCTGGGTCCACAGCACAGTGTGCTCACCGCTGCACAATTAAATACAAATAGTTGTGTGTTTAATGTGCACAACATGTAATTATTGCATAATATTTCTCGTTAGAAACTCCGTATTTAGATATTTCATATGTATTTAGTTCCTCCGTTTTTGGATATTTATTACTTTACTTGTTAGGGAACAGAATTATTGTTCCATTCGTGAAAGTATGTTATTGATTGTTTTGCCTTTGCTGTATTATATTCGATTTGTGTTATGGGCTTCATGTCACAAGGGCAAATAAACTCTTCAGCTAGCTGTGGATGACCCCTTGTCAAAGGATAGTTCTTGAAGAAGACACTACATAACTACATCTCAAGTGACTCCAATAGACCAACAGGGTCTACTGTTTAAATTTTCTACAAATGTCCATCGTATGCCATTCAAACGCGAATTTAACATTCTTAGAGCTGGAATTTCATCAAAATTAAGTGGAAAACATTTATATCATATTTTTTTGGGGCAGTCATTGGGTCAGGCCAAATACTCACACTGCACTACTGAAGCATGGTAAATCACATGCGGCTGAAACTCCGATTCCAACTATAACAAACTATTCATAATAATGGTCGCGAAAGCCTACGTGTTAAACTATAACAAACTATTAAACTAAACTCGGGCTCTCAGCAGTGTTGTCCAGGTGCCCGCTGACCCGAGACACCCAGCCACCTCCCACCAATGAAATGCCTCTAAACCATTAGGCTAAGAGAGATTATTGGCTGAGATACCATGGGACTCATCTCGGTGGTTCACATGAAGACCCCCTTGAAAAGCCCTGCAGTGGGAGTTATTTAAGCTACAAAATGCCTGTAGTTTTTTTCGTTACATGTTGGCTCTCAGAACTGGGTATATAACTTGGTAAATAAATAGCAAATACACACTTTAGGCAGGATGATTGTGTGCGCGCAATTGCAGATGACTGAAGAGGGGGTAAAATGGTCTGCACATTAACGCAAAGAAGCGGTGGAGAGGTCAACGTTTAGAGTTTCACTGACATTTAAGTAGGAACACATGGATTAGAGAACTTGCAAAGATGTATGGAAACATGTCTTTCCATCATTCTGCTTTTAAATCAAGAACCAAAAGTATTGCAATGATGATCCCTTGATTATAATTGTGGGTTTCAGCCACGCATGATGAAACCACGCTCTCAAGCATAGCGATTTCATAGTCTTCCTCCCCCCCATACAAAATGAGGCTTGTTATACCAATTCTGCTGGGTTATCAGATGTCAAACCTGTCAATCCCTACATTGTACCTGTCTTCTTGTACAGGGAGATTGAGTGTTCAGGTCCATATGGCGTACAGCCGTTTTAATAGAAGCAAAATAAATATATTTGTTTCTTTTTATCCCTTGTGATGGGACTTTGTAGAATAAACGTTGAGATTTATCAGGGCACGGGGTGTCCAATAAAATCTGAATAGGTCTGTAATAAGGTAGGGGACTGATAAGGGGTTGACATGCATGAGATGTCGTCAGTCAGTCATTCGTCAGTATCCATTGCTGAACCATAAAGATACCCATTAAAACACGTGAGACATTGCCTCTTTCGCGAGGGCCACCTGCGTCAGATCGAGTGAAAGTCACCAGCGAGAGCACTCCGTCACAATGGTGACCACACTCCTCCATTAAAAACGCAAAAAACCTATACATTATGTTAAATCAATCAATGACATTTCGTTTCTTCCCACTACCCCCCCCCCCCTCCATCTCAATCACCAGGCAACTCCAGCCATATTCTTTTGGTCTTTTGGTAAAATATAATAATAAGGTTTTCCCCTTTTTTTCTGGAAACAAAACTGAAACCTTTTTACAAGGATTCGTGTCTGCATTAACCACAATACCTGCAGTCAAAATGCAAACAAAAAACATACTATGATAATATATGCATTGTCCTTGAAACTGATTGGTCCGTACCAAGGGACGGCTTTCTTTTGAGCCTCGACCCAATTGGTGTTCGACCAGATGACGCCAAAAGGCGTACAGCTCAAAGCCAATGCACTATCAAAGTAATGAGGGCTTCGGGGTGAAAAAAAGGGGAAAAACCCTATTATTACATTTTGGTACTGGCAAAGGAGGTCTAATGATGTAGATGCTCACCCCGAGCCCTCATTACTTTGATAGTGCATTGTCTTTGCGCTGTACGCCTTTTGGCGTCATCTGGTCGAGCACCAATTAGGTCGAGGCTCAAAAGAAAGCCGTCCCTTGGTGTGGACCAATCAGTTTCAAGGACAATGCATATATTATCATAGTATGTTTTTTGTTTGCATTTTGACTGCAAGTATTGTGGTTAATGCAGACATGAATCCTTGTAAAAAGGTTTCAGTTTTGTTGCCAGAAAAAAAGGGGAAAAAGCTATAATTACATTTTGGTACTGGCAAAGGAGGTCTAATGATCTTTTGGTAAAGTTACGTAGATGGGTTCAAATGAATAAAAATAAAATAAAACTACAACGTTCCGATCACAACACAAGCGATCGTCCTGATGACGTCCTGATGACGATCGCTTGTGTTGTGATCGAAACGTCGCAGTTTTTCATTAATTTTATTTCCATTAAATTTTAACCTCTAACTACCTGACTTCACCGAAAGACCCAAAGAACATGAATGCCTGCAGTCACGAAAGCTTCACGCCAAGGGCTCCAGCCATTTCCCGAGCAAAACATCTCCCCCCCCCCCACGGTTACCGCAGGTAGTCACGGCGGCAGAGCTTGCGTCCGAGCTTGTAGTAGAGCCTTCGTCCCACCTCGCCCAGGCGGCAGCCGCAGAGATCGCAGCTGAGGCAGTCCTCGTGCCAGAACTGCTCGATGGCCTTGAGGAGGTAGCGGTCACTGATCGGCTGCCGGCACCCGCCGCACATCAGCATCATCGGCGGCATTCGCAGCACCTCGTCCACGGGCTCCCTGTGCGCGCGGTCGCACCCCACGTCAGCGCACCCGTTGCCAGGGCAAGCATACGTACGAAGAACTTGACGCCGATGTTAGCCGTGACGGGGAGTTGAACTCAATGACCTCCCCCCCCCCCGCACCTCACGTATTTATATTTGAAAGGGGGGTGGCGAGATGTTAACTACCTCGCCTGGTGCACAGGAGGTTGTGGGTTGATCCCGACCCTGACGCCTGCTGCTGTATATTTGGAGTTTGCGTGTCTCTCTCCCCGCAGTCGCGTGGATTTTTCTCCGGTTTTCACCTCCAAATTGATAAACATGCCTGTTGAGTATTTTCTGCTATACGTTTCCACATTAGATGTTAACTGCCTATGCCTGGTATACAGGAGGTCGTGGGTTCGATCCTGACCCTAATGCCTGTATATTTGGAGTTTTCATGTCTCTCCCCGGGGTCTCCTGGATTACTCCGGGGTTTCCCTCCACATTTAGAAACATGCATTTAGCGTATTTGGCTGCTATACGTTTCCACATGACAAGCCACTTCGTTGAGATTTAATTTGTGGCCAGGTCGCTTTAAAAAAAAACAATGTAACTCAGTGGGCCTTACGTGGTAAAATAAAATATATATTTTTTATATGTTCTATTGTTTAATTCCATCAGCCTATTGGCTTTCCAGGCCAATGTTATCAATCAGCAAACTCGGGACCGATTTCGACCATCTGGGTCTCATCAGCAGAGTCAGGTTCGTGAAAAAAAATGCTGCTGGATTACCGGATGTTATTGGCAAGAGCTCGCCATATGAAATATGGGACCCAGTTCAATGGCAAAGCAACACCGTTCACTAACTCAATGTGCGTTGCCATGCAGCAGCATCGGTAACAAAAAAATAACCTTACATAGCCAGAATTACGCTCTTTTATCTACACAAATAACGAAACATTATTTAGTTTATTAGCCTAAAAATCAATACGCTCATTGTCTTTTGCACTGAATAGGAACAGTGAGTTTGATTCCAGGCCGCGACTAACATCAGTGGCAAGCGATATCTGAACCAGACCTGGGCTCCCCCTTCACTAATCTGCACTGACCAGCGTGGCAAAGTATGACCAAAGCCCCCCTTGAACAATATGGCATGGGGGGCTTTGTCTATTATTTACTCTGTAGCAATGGGGTCCTCCCGGATGATTGGGGTCCTCCCCCCAGATGATGGGATCCTCCCCACCTGGTCGATTATTATACAGACTCAGATAAAATACTTGACGGTACTGTTATGCAAAGAGGAACTTACATATGACACGTGGTAAGGTGGCTTTTGAACGAATAATACTTCCCAAATTCTATCCCTTTCAAGTACATGCACAGTACACATTACGTCGATCGTTGCACACTTCACACACCGGATAATTGCTGAACACGTCCCACGCAATGTGGAGAGGTGTGGGTCCACTTAAGAGTGTAAGACAAAGATGCCCCGTACAGCCTTTATCATAATATTGGGGCAAGTGCTGTTCGCGAGCGCAAATTAAGTCTGGCAACTTCAAATGTGGGTGGGTGGTGGCCAACACCACGCCCGGCCGCCTTTATCTCCCTAGTGGCGATGTTTGCACACCGCACCAGGTACTCATTTGAGGCTGAGTCGACCTGGGGGGAGGCCCAGATAATCGTCACTGTTGGCCATGAGCTGGAATCGAACTCGAGTGGCTGGGTTCGTAGGGCAGTGCACATCCACTGCGCCACCGCTCCCCACACAAGTGTGCCTCTTCTTCACTTGAAGCATGGCTCGTGCCCATGATCTCGAGATCATGGGAGATGGCAACGGTTTAGGGAGGCCTTCATCCAGCGGTGGATAATTCACGGCTGATGATGATGAAATGATCAATGCAGTAAAACTTGAAGACCCTATACAGTCGGCTGTGATGAGATTCGACGACATCGCTGCAGTAAAAATGGGTTCATGTTCACAGTACGGGGGTAACCCAATGCAGCTAATGTATGATTAATTACACATACAGCCCACAACATCCGTCACATATCCCGTCAACCTGCCAAAAATATACACTTTCAGAATATATAATTATATAATATAGGCTATGTGTTTCGCAGTCTATCCTCCGGGCAAAGTGAAAACGTTGACCGCGTGACATGTCTATTAGTTAATACCACGGCTCTTTGGTCAATCCACTGCTGGATGAGGACTTCCCCAAGGTAGTGAAGTATGTTTGACCATACTTCATTACCTTGGTCAGTTTAAGGTTGGGGGGGGGGGGGAGCGAGAGACGCTCCCACATCACTCTCTTGACTGATGTGAGCCATGGCCCAGGGAGTCGATCGTGTTTACAACTCATGCGGTGCGCTAACCACTGCGCCACCAACTCTACCATCCGTACAATCGCAATTATTCATCATCATCGGTAGCTATGATCGATCCACTGCTGGATGAAGCCCCCGCCAAAAGCAGTCACCATCTCGCACGATCTTGCGATGTAACGATCCGAGCCGACACCCGTCCCTTCGCTGACGTCCTCTCTCCCGCCAGTCACAACTTCCCTCTGTGTGAATATTCGCAGGGCCTGATGAACTCGGGATTCCGAAGTACATTCTGCTCCACGATGGTTGCAACTCAGTCCAGTACTTTGTATCGCTGTGAAACATTTCCTCGGCGATGCGGTAATTGTATACCCATTGCCAGGGCATTATTAATTTAATATTCCGGGACGCTGCTTATACCACTGGCTCGGTGTATGGATCATCGGCGTAAGGCTCTGCCACTGCAGTACGATGTACGGCAATCCACAATTACCCTCTACTGTATTATACCCTATATGTATCCCAACAGCACACACACCAACCGATGCTCGGCCAATAATTAAGCACTGTGCCTGTACGTACGCAGGACTTTAACCTTGTACTACGGTGCAATTCCGCGTGAGTACGGGCATTATAAATGTATAGGACTTACTCCGCTGGCTCAGTCGTTTTCCTGGAGCTTGATGTCGACATGTTGATGCGGAGACCCGCACGCACAACACACAACACACGCACACGCGCGCGCGCGCACCGGAGTGACACAGCCAAGCCCCAGTCGCGTTTTATAGAAGTGGCGCACAGAGCCCTACTGGCCAAAGCCAAACTTCCTCTCCGCGCTCGTCGTGACTCGGCGCACAATGGGCGGAAATTTGCGCAATAGCCGTTTGCAAGTCTCGCGTCGGGTTTAAGGCACGAAGCACTGAGAGTGCTCAGCGGGAGCTTCATTTCAGCCGGGTCTCTCCCCCTGTCAGCGACCGTCACCCGGCATACCACACCCAGTATACTTCTCGCTATGGTTGCGGCTACCGTTAAGCAATGTGCCACCTACATCGGTCTAATAGTGACACGCAAACTATATCAGTACCCGGCAGACCACACCCAGTATACTTCTCGCTATGGTTGCGGCTACCGCTAGCAATGTGCCACCTACATCAGTCTAATAGTGACACGCAAACTATATCAGTACCCGGCATACCACATCCAGTATATTTCTCGCTATGGCCTTGGCTACTGATAGTTACGTGCCAGACACTCCAGTCTACCAGCGACCCGTGAAAATGTTCAGTGAGAAACGAATCCCTGAGAGGCATGCTTAGTTTTGTTTTCTCCCAAACTCCAGTCCCTGCTGGTTTGCCACCGACGCAGTCGACGAATTTTTCGACGTTTGCCGACCTTTATCGCTCGAGTTGCAATTTAAGTCGCTGCACGCTGTACGCGCCTGATGATTGTATACACACGTATGCACAAGATCTACAGCATCAAACAAATCGGCGCTCTTGCGACACGTACAAACAGTGCATTAATTATTGTATTGCACTGCATCGAAATGGGAATTTGTTTGACACGAACCGTGCGTGGTGGGAGCAGCTATGAGCCCTGTGAAACTGCGTTCGATTCCTGGACACGCCTAAGATCAATGGCGAGTGATATAGCAAGCGGCACTGCTATGCCATCTTCCCCTTTATCGTGCAATCACCACCGTGGTGAAGTATGGTCAACGCCTCCCCCCCCCCCCCCCCCATGGACCCGGCATGGAGAGGTCTTCATCCAGCAGTGGATTGACAAAGCGCTGTAAATTCTTTTATACCAAGTGTGTGATCTTTTTTTCCGGTAGTTGTAAAAATCACACTGGAGTAGATAGTTTTCAAAAAGTAGGAAATAGTTTCCAAAAGTTGCAAGAGCATGTATTGGGGCGAAGTGCATTAGCAAAGTGTGAGGTTAATGCAAAAAACAATATGCTATAGTTTCAACCAACCCGCATTGACCAGCGTGGTGAAGTATGGTCAAACAACCCCTACGATTGACAGGACGTGGGGGAGGGGAGCCATTCTTCCGGCAGCGGATTGGCAAAGGGCTGATAATTATTATAATTACAGCATTACATTCTCACTTTTACAAACGGAGGTACGTTACCTACATCATGCCTTGACGCAGTTTATTTTTTTTCAGAAGGGCGAATCATTCCCTGCCACGCGCACTGTATTATGGAACCAGAACACAAATTAGTCACTGACATTTTGACCATGCGGCTCATTCATGCGTTCCGGTGTCGGCAATGATTAATTAATTACAAATGTATATTTGTTAAAAAATAAAGAGACGTTGTAGAAATGAGTACAGTATATTCTTCCGTTATATATATTTTTCATCGTGGCTTCTGTAGTTGTGTTATGTTATTCTTAATCTCGTAAGCAGAACGGGGACCATTAATAGCTTACCTATGAACGTCATTTTTTTATTCTACGCAAATAATTCCAAAGGTCGACGTCACTAAGCCCCGCCGACCACCTCCCGTCCAGCGGCACACGTGAAAACAGGGGTGAGACTTTTATTTTATTCCCCCCCTTCAACTCCTAAGTAGTTTTGCGTTCTCCGATCTGTCGAGTAATCGAACCGGTGATAAATGACTGACTTAAGTGGTCGAATGTCCCGGCCTAAATTCGCAGTGTTTGGGCTCCGTTCATGGAGTGCGCTTTGTTGATGTAAAGTCGTTTTACGGAATTGCGACCCCGTGATGCCATTAAATAGCGCCACCCCCAAGCAGCACTTTTCCTTTGTTTCCATTCCTTTCCCAGTTTCGTTGTTGATGATGGATTGATTGTGCCCGATAGGCACCTCACTACAAGTCTTACATCGACTCTATAGAGTCGTTCCCTGGCGTTAAATTACATTGTGACCACTTCATGGGTGTTTTTTTTCTATGCCCAAACAGGACGTGCATCCCTCTCCAAGGGCTTTTAAGAATTGGCAAAGCTACTCAAGAATTGAAAGTTCTTCAGGAAACTTATTATTCTTATTCCGTTCTCAATTCCTGAAGAAGCTCCCAGCACGTGAGGAAAAACACATTGGAGAGCCGTGTGGTAACAACCGTGAAAACCTCTTGGACAGCTCTCATGAATCATCATCAATCATGATTAATCCACTGCTGGATGAAGGCTCTAAGCAAGTTGTTACCATCTCCCACGATCTTGCGATGCAACATTTCATACAGCACCTGCACACGAGGTTAAAAATCGCTCCATCTCCCCAGTGACATCCCTCTCGGGCGAGTTCCAGCCCCTTGATAAATAATATTATTTCATGCATTCTGAACTATTTTCCCCGCGATACAGGTTGGCATTCTTATTTCGCATGACTGATGTAGATGCATAGCAAACAACTACAATTTCATGTTCAGGCGATCAAAGCCTGAAAACCGCGTCACCTTTGCACATAAATGTGGTCATTTTGACGTCAGTGAATTTGTAAATTTGTTTTATTAATTAATTGTTCAGGTTTTGTTTGATGCTAAACACATATATATTAAACTTTGCATGTAAATTCCAAACATTCCACTTCTTGACTTAAAACCCCAGTCTTCTAAACTACACGTCCATCTATCAGCTCTGCAAAAGATTCGATGCCCGAAACGTCAACTGCGATAACGTACTTCCGTTCTAAGGCAGTGCCAATTATGCACGGGCGCGACTGTTTAATTACGGAAACAACTCACCGTGGCATTGTGTCTCATAATCAGAAGAAAATAAAAAAAAACATCGTCCATTTATACAGGAAGGTCTTGCTGAGTTCCAAGAATGTTTTGCAGGAGGGTCCTGCGTTGGGATGCTGGTTCATTTCCGTTCGGTAATTAACGAGTGTTTTGCTTCGTGCGGGAGGAAACTCGAGAACCCGGAGACAACCCACCCCGAGGTCTGTGGCATTTTATTTGAAAGCACGTGCGTTTTAGGAACCCGCTTGCTGTACTGCATTCCCGTGACCGTGTCGCGGGAAAGCGTGGTTTGTAATTTTCAGACAATTTGCGTGCTCCGATAAACCGTGCCCTCTGAAGCGATTGATCACAGGGCGTAGCGCGCCACCGCTCCTGTCGACACCTTACCTGTACGCACATTGAAATGTGATTAAAGAAAAAGGAAAACCTTGCGAAGCTGGATTTCCAGGAAGTCAAAATGAGGGGCACAGTATTAACCTCGGTGGTGCCCTTTGGTGCCCTCTTTGCCGTTGCTACTTTTGGTTCTCGAGTCAAAAAGCGGAAGAATGCTTCACAAAAAGCACGTGCTCCTTTCCATGCCTCTCTCGGTGTTATTCCAAGCATGCGCACTCCATTGCGATGGCTTTGGAGAGACCTTCATCGAGCAATGTAGAGATCATATCTGATGATGATTATGATGATCAGTAGAAGTATGATGATGGAAAAAATAGTGATATTGACATATGGCAAGAAGTGTCTCTGACAAGTGACCGTAGCCATGCCAATCACCCCATTGGATATTTTGCCCGCTCTCTCGATAAGATCACGCGCTCTGCATTTTAGAAAGGGAAATGTAAATGTCTTTGGTGTAGTGATCATCATCGTACTCATTTTGGTTATCAAGTGATACGCGCGGAACTTTAAACGTATTTCAATATACAAATAAAAGTATGCTGCGATGCATGCAGTTTATATATATGGTATATTTGAACATACATATTTCACAATGCCACAGTACTCTAGCGTAATGTTATTGTCACGCTCATGAATAAACCCATCTCAAGTCTCTCAATCGCTCCCAAAAAGTCCACGTGAAACAATGCGCACTCCACATTGCAAAACGTGGGCAGCACCCACCCGTGCCACCATGCGTCAGGTCGTTTTAACATTGGAAAGGGGTGTTCAGATGGGGGGGGGGGGGGTAAGCCAATGAGAGACATGGACTGCCGACCCTTATTTTATTCCAAACTCCACTATGCCCGTTGAGTCAGTGGGTTTGGAGAGTGGTTAACCGCGGAAGCAGACCGGCACAAGCGATACGATGGGTGGGTGCAATGTGCCCCGAGCTGATAGCCCGAGTCGTAATAACCGAGGCCGAGTTATTACAGCAGCACGAAGAAAATAAAATTGATAGCCAATAGCTTGTCAAGTGGCAGTGGTGAATAGTCACATTCGCAAGAGGAGTACAATAATGCAACCATTACTTGTGAATGACTCGTGCCGTGTTATTCCTTGTGCACTTATTGCAGGTGATTTGCAGCCCTGTGTCAATCCAGCGCTGGCTGAAGGCCTCTTCCACGCCCAGTACCGGATTATCCTCGTAGCAAAAGTAGCTACATATGCTACGGGCCCCGCACTTTCAAGGGCTAAATGCTTTGAAGCTATCAATTCCGGTTCAGTGATTCTGCACTTGCTCTATTACTATAGTACTATACTGCCTTCAACTTTTATGAACGACTGAGCCTTTAAGGTTAGCGATTTGTCGTATTATCTGGCACTATAGCAAATGCAAAAATACAATTACTTTACTATGCAAGTAAACAATTTATGTGTATTGATATTAACGTGTTTTTTAGGGCCCCTTTATAACATATGCTACAGCTATATCCGGCACTGCCCACGCCCTGTTAGTTATGGGGGGTTTGTTTGACCATACTTCACCACACTAGCCAGTGTGGGTTGCTAAACTGGGAGGTGATTGATTTAAATTAAATAATTAAAATGCTCATAGTAATTCGCATATGTAGTGCAATGTTGTAAATGTAATAATTGTATTGTTTACATTGCAGTATGGGCAAAGCATGAAATGTATTTGGCCAAACATCAAACGCAGGACCCCGTGTAAAATAATATTGAGATTCAGCGAGGGTTTGCTGGATAAAATAAGACAAGTTTGTTATCGGAGTAACTGCCTGATTTCTGAGATTTTTAGGTTCAGACATCACAGGAGGCGAATTACTTGGTTCACTGATGTGAACCGTGGTTAACTCGATACCTAAAGCAATTCGCAAATACAAGCTGACC